AGAAATGCTGCTATTTACGGTATTTGCTGCCTCTGCAAATTCAGAAATGCTGCTAGCAACAGTATTTGCGACGTCTGGACACGCACAAATGCTGCCTTTACAGTATTTGCAGCCTCTGACAACGCAGAAACGCCGCTATTTACAGTATTTGCTCTGGCAACGCACAAATGCTGTTATTTACAGTATTTGCAGCCTCTGCAAACGCAGAAATGCTGCAATTTACAGTATTCGCAGCCCCGAACCAAGAACCAAGGCCGAGCCACACCTTTGCAAGGAAACATGGCCGAGCCACACCTTTGCAAAAAAAAAACCTTCCGCCGGTTTAGGGCTAACACAATTGTCCCCCCCCCCCCTTCTAGGCTTGGACTTGGGAGTTGGAGCAATTGTTTCGAGCCCCGAATGTAGCAAACCCATGGTTCTTGCTGAAAAGCCGGCACAAAGAAAGAGAGAGGTGAGAGAGAAGTGAGGAAGAGATGATTGATGCGAGGGACACAAGTGAGAGGTGAGGAAGACATGAGAAGTGGGATGGATGACGGAGGTTGGCTCCCGGATCACATATACAAATTGGACAAGGCATAGCTTCTACTGGTCCCAAGTTTCTGCAATTTCATCGTTCAGTATCCGGGGTACCGTACAGTGAGTGCGTGAGATTTCGAGAACCCTAAACCCTAAACCCTAAACCCTAAAGAAGAGAATGTGGATGAGTAGGAGATTTGGCACAGAAGAAATCCTAAAGCCTTTCGCTGAGAGCCTGCCTAGAGTTCTAACAAACCTATCTGGGGGGTGTAGGAAAGTAGGGGACCGCCCAAATTAGCCGCCAAATAGTAGTATTCCCTTAATAGGGATCCCAATGAGGTACCCCAAATTTTCGGAAACTCCTAGCCCTAAACCCTCTAGCCCTAAACCCTAAACCCAAATTTTCGGAAACTCCTAGCTAAGGCAAGGAGGACTTCATCTGGCGGCACTCCCTGTCCGTCTGCGGGCAAATTATTGTGGACGCTTGGGCGACCCACTGAAGACGACTAATTGCTTAAGACCCCGAAAAAATGCAAATATTCTTTCCTTATTAAGGGTAAGATAGGGATTGTCATGTTCTATGCTTTTGGGGTTCTTAAGCAAATAGTTGAAGATGATTGAAAGTTGGTTTCCGGGGGAAGGAGACAGGGTCTTAATGTTGGACCTGCTTTAATAATGTAACCCCCCCCCCCCCCCCAGTCAGGGGGGGGGGGGGTGGGGGCAGAGAAATGAGCTCCCTTCAGGGTTTTGGAACCAGATCCCAAACTAAGAACTTGACCTCAAAAACCATTAAAACAAACAGGCCCGGCCCGAAATCTTTTCATTATTGCGGACCCCCAAAACAGAGGGTCCAGATCCTGAATAGCCGGAAAACTTTTCATAATAGCGGCCTCCTAGAATATTGCGGGTGCAACATTACTGCTCAGCCAAATTCTGAGAACAGGGTGCACACGACAAACGCGTAAGGTATTGTGGCAACCCTCAACCCCAAACCCAAACTGCAACATTGCATGTGCTGCTAGCCCCGCCTCCTCCCTCCGCCCCTGCCCTCCCTACATGCACGTCAGTGTGTCTTTAGGGCATCTGGACCATCCACCGCAAATCCTAATCCTTAAGGTACATGGGCCATAAAACTTCTTGAAGGGTTTAGGGTTTTGGGCAACAAGTGTTTGGCCTGTCCTCACGCGGAGGCCCTCATGTTTCCCCATGCGCGCGCGGTGGCCATGTACTCGCCTTTCTTCTTGGCAGCCCACGTGCTTGCCTGTGCTCATGTGTTTGGCTGCTTGGGAGCACAGTGGTACCCTTTTGCCCTTTTTTTGGGGCTCTAGGTTATTCTCAAGTAACAAAACCTTAAACCCTAAACCCTAAATCCCCTAAATCCCCTAAACCCTAAACCCTAGACCCCCTTATTCTAGTACTAGTATAGTTCCTGTGCGACCAAGGCTATGATGCTGCCTTTAGCATGGGCTACCTCATGCAGAATGTTGTGCTGACACTGTGCGCTATGGCTGTTCCTCTGATGACCGCGGCTTGTCACTCCAGTCGATCGGCCCCGGGGCGCCCCCCACTGACACCCCGAACCCTCAACCCGAAATCCTAAACCCATGACTCTTGTCTTCACTTGGAATAAATATATTTAAGTGTATATATATATATATACATGTATGAGGCTCCAGAGAGCGTGTGTCGGTTCCGGTTCTTGTCGTGTAGAGATGGCTGCTTATTCAGGTAAACGAGGCCAGATTCTCGAATTCGGATCAAGTTCTTGTTTGACATCCTACGCTTCTGATTGCCAGGGGTTCTTGCAGTCGAAAGTGTCCAAGCACCTCAATTTTACTTTGGGATGTTCCCTCTTATACTAACAGTCTTTCATCGAGATTAGACTAGGGGGTACGGGAATCCCGATTCAGAACTGTTAGAATAAGGGGGAACATCCCAAAATTGACTCCTTACGATCCCAGCCTGGAAGCTTTGGCGATGTTTTGTGCGGGCTACTGGTCATCGGGCCGGGGTAGTGTCATGCAGAACTTGGCACGCCTGATTTGCTTGTAGACCTTAAGAACCCCGAACTTACTGATTTTCAGGCTCTTGTCACAAAACTCCTTCATAGGATTCTTAGGTAACCTACGGGAAGTAGGTTTGGGGTTCTAAAGGTACGTACCCTAAACCCTAACCCCTAAACCCTAAACCCTAAACCCTAAAAGCACCTTCAGGCACCCTTGGAAGCAAAGAGCATCTAAGCCTTTCTGGGAAATAACCCCACCCGCTGTGAATTGATTACGAGCGAATGTTAGGGTTATGGGTTTAGGGTTTAGGGTTGAGGGTTTAGGGTTTAGGGTTTAGGGTTTCCAAGGCCTCAAGCAAGACCCTGTAAACCCTACATGTTTGGGGTTTAGGGTTTGGGGTTTAGGGTTTAGGGTTTTGGTTTTACATGCTCTGACTAGTTCTGGAGCTTAGGAGAACATCATTCGAGACCGCATTGCGGAATCCTTCAAATCGGACGAAGCGCACTCACTGGTGTCGCCAGACATGTCGAATGGGGGGGGTTTAGGGTTTAGGGTTTAGGGCTCTCGAGGGTTCCCTTTGGTTTAGGGTTCGCTTGGGTTCCCTTGGTTTAGGGTGTTCTTGAGTTCCCTTTTTTCTTTGGTGGGGGGGGGGGAGGCTTCCTATTCCAGGGATCATAGAACCCTAAACCCGAAACTCTAGCCCTAAACCTCAAACCCTAAACTCTAGCCCTAAACCCTAAACCCTGAACCCTAAACCCTAAACCCTAAACCCTAAACCCTAAACTCGAGTCAACAACGCCGAATATGCAGCTTGAAATCTCCGAAGACCTACGCCTCCCTCGGGCACAAAGTGAACCCGTAAAAGGGTTTACTACTCATTGCTTACCGGGGTGTGGGGTTTAGGGTTTAGGGTTTAGGGTTTAGGGTTTAGGGTTTAGGGTTTAGGGTTTGGGGTTTAGGGTTAAGGGTTTAGGGTTAAGGGTTTGGGGTTAAGGGTTTGGGGTTTGGGCTTAGGGTTTAGGGTTTAGGGTTTAGGGTTTAGGGCCTGAAGGCTCCAATGTAGTTCCCTTTTGGGTTCCTTCTAGGGGATTCTAGTATACTTCCCCAAAAAGGTACTACATTGGAGCCTTTGGGTGAGAGCCCCCTATAAGAAACAAGGATATTCTTCCTTATTAGAGGCAATATAGGGATTTGTTTTTCTTTTGTAATTCTTTTGGGGTTGTGAAGAAAATAGTAGTTTAGGGTCCTTATACCGCCCAATGTGGGGGTTTACGACAACAGGGAACCCTCAATATAGACCCCCAAATAGTAGGATTCCCTTCTAAGAAGGGCACCAAGAAGGTACCCACCCTATCTTCGTAAACCCCTATAATACAGACCGTGGTAGGGAATGCAGTAGCACAGAGGTATATGGTTTAGGGTTTAGGTTTTAGGGTTTAGGGTTTAGGGGGTTCTTTTAGGCTTCAGTTACGTCTTCAAGGCTTTTGGTTTTGGTCAGTCCGCCAAGCCCAAACCCCTCTAAACATCAACCATGGCGGGGGTTTACTCAGTCTGCTCTGGTTGAGCAATCATGCAAGAAGCATGCTAGCATGTTTTGGGGACGAGATGAACATGGACGTCGTGTACCTCTTGCCGGCATACCAGGAGGGGCTAGTAAACCTGAGAATCCCCACAATCAACCCTGTACAAAGCGCCCTCTTCAAAGGGATCAGGTTAATCGCCCATGCTGGTAGCCCTAATGTTGACTTCACATTAGTGGATCCACCCGCAATTGTAAAATCCCGCTGCCGGAACACAATAGTGTAGCCCGCCACAATTGTAAAATCCGACCCGGGAAATCCGGGTTTTACGGGTGATGTTATGTTATTAGCTAAAACTTATAAGTTTCAGGGTGTTTGAAGAGAATGAGTTTAGAGCTTGGTGGCTGCAGACACTCTCTTTTGCAGTGGCACCCCTCAACCTCCTCCTCCTACTACTACTACTACTACTACTACTGCTACTACTACTACTACTACTACTACTACTACTACTACTACTACTACTACTACTACTACTAGTACTACTAGTACTACTAGTACTACTAGTACTACTAGTACTACTAGTGGTACTACTACCTAATACTAAAACTAATACTACGTCCTACCAGTTTTTAGGCGGATACTATTGAGGAGGCCCTGGCCGGAGAGATTGATCAATGAAGGGGGGGGGGGTTATTAATGCGAAGTCAACATTAAACCCTAAACCCTAAACCCTCTGCTAGAACCTTTATGGACACCAAGCGCTGTCGTGGTTCAGCATGTGCCATCACAAGAACTCTGCGCGCGTGTGAGAGACGAATCGGGTTTAGGGTTTAGGGTTTAGGGTTTAGGGCTTAGGGCTTAGGGTTTAGGGTTCAGGGCGAGTCTACTTATAGACAGGGTTGGTGGTAGGGTTTGTCAGGCCCAATAGCCCCGGTCCCGACCAGCGCATGCGCAAAGGATGGCGTTTCGACAGATGCTGCGGGGCGTCTGTGACGGCGATGTGTTGCTGGATGATGATTTGAACCTTGCGAGCTAATGCGTCGCCCTAAAGGTTTAGGGTTTAGGGTTTAGGGTTTAGGGTTTAGGGTTTAGGGTTTAGGGTAACCCTAAACCTGAAACCATAAACCCTAAGGCGTTGCATGCCAGCTCTGAGCCCAATGCATGTACATAAACCCTGTCAGGGCTCGATTTAGTCCCAGCCTGTGGACCCCATTGAACCTACAATTGGCGTCACATACCCCTTTACTACTATAATCTCTATTCAGGTAGATGGACCGACCCTAAACCCTAAGCTCTAAACACTCTAAACCCGAAACCCAAAACCCTAAACCCTAAACCCTAAACCCTAAACCCTAAACCCTAAACCCTAAACCCTAAACCCTAAACCCTAAACCCTAAACCCTAACCCATGTGGACCATAAGCCCTTTTGGGGGGTCATGTAGTTCCCAAGGAAGACCTGCGGCGACGTCAGTGCTCTGAAGCGGATTCTGGGAACGCACGGCGACCTCAAAGGGAGAAAGTTCCAGGATTTCCTGGTGCAGCAGGAGGAGCCCTAAACCCTAAACCCTAAGCCCAAAGCCCTAAACCCTAAACCCTAAACCCTGAACCCTAACTTTCCCCGGAAGTTGGAATACCATGCCTGTTATTACCAGACTAGATATACTAGAAGCCTCTATTGAGGTCTAAGGAGGCTTATCAACCCTAACTGACCCCTAAACCCTAAGTCCTAAGCCCCTAAACCCTAAACCCTAAACCCTAAGCCCTAAGCCCTAAACCCTAAACCCCCCGAACCATCCCTCTCCTTCTGTGGGTGAGTGGGCGCAGTCGGGCCCTCAGCGAGACCATGGCAGGCTCTGCTGAGCTGCAGAGCCTGCGGTCGCACCTTAGAGGGGTCGCCAAGCTTGAGTCGCCTAGCATGGTCCCTCTTGTACATAGTTTTGCCCACTAAACCCTAAACCCTAAACCCTAAACCCTAAATCCTAAACCCTAACCCCCCCTAAGCCCTAGATTTTTGTACTTGCGAGAGCCCGCCTTTAAACCGGATACCCTCCCCCCCCCCCCCTTTGGGCCCGGGCCTTTAAGCCAGATACCCCCCCCCCCGAAGTCCATTTGAGGGCCTGGGCCTTTCAACTGGATGAGGCCCCAGAAGCCTCCAAAGCCCCAATTTTGATGGAGGGCCACCCCACGACCTTTTCACAGCCTAGTTTTGGTCTGGAGAGGGTGTCGTGTTTCTCAATTTTCAAAGCAAAACAGTATTGGGACACACCCCCCCTCTTGGCCAAAACTCCGACCCCCCCTTGAAAGGAAAGTTTGCCTTCACAAAAGCTTTTTCTTGGGTCCGCTCAAAGCCCTGACAGGAAAGTGCCGCAGGCCCCTCACTTCACAAAAGCCTTGAAGCCACCAGAAGCCTTGGCAGCCCCCTAGAAACCTGTGTGGGGGGGGGGGGGGGGGGGGCCGCCCGGGCGTTTAAACCGGATACCCCCCCCCCCCCCTATCCGAAGTCATTTGGGGGGCAGGCCTTTCAACGAGGTTAGAGAATGGAAACAATGAAAAGGCCCTCTGGCCCCCAACGCCAAAGCAAATTCTTTTTCTCTCGCAAACTTCCAGACATGACCTTCATTACGGCATCTTTATTGCAACAGGTCTTTCGCCATGGAGCCTTGACACTCCGGCGAAAAGAATAGAAAACAATGAGAAGCCGAAGACGTCCCCCCGCACCAAACCTGTTTTTTCTCTCGCAAGCTTCTAGACATGAGGACGTCCCCCAACGCAAAACCTAACTTTTTGTCTTTCGAGGGTTCTTGTTCTAAGGTCATTCGCAAGGCATCTTCTTAGATGTTACCATGCAAAAAGACATCTTCATAAGCAAGCTCCATGACATAAGGAAGCATACTAGCCATTAGTCCGACGTACAGCGTTGAGTGCAGAGGTGTTTTGAATGTTGGCTGGCTTTGGTGCGGCTGGCTCTGGTTTGTTTCGCTGCAAGTCGTGTTTGGGTGGCCTTGGGGTGGGCATGTCTGCACACAACTGCGTGCAGCTGACCACTGCTGCACCCTAAACCCTAAACCCTAAACCCTAAGCCCTAAGCCCTAAGCCCTAAGCCCTAAGCCCTAGAAGCCCTAGAAGCCCTAAGTCGAAATAGGAGGCCATTCTGACGTTTGAGACGTTCGTGGCCAACGCTGTTGCTACTGGCGAAGCGTCCGGCCCTCCCCCAAAGTGCTTGCGTGCCTCGGGGACAAGAAACGAACCCAGGGTTTAGGGTTCAGGGTTTATAGGCTTAGGGTTTAGGAGGGTTTACAGACTTACTGGGGCATGTTCGTATACATTGGCAAGTGAAGCCTGCAATTGGGGTCATAGTGGACCATAAACCCTTTTAGATAGCAGCACGGCGTGTTGTTACACCTCATCTCAAGCATACCCAAAGGTTTATACGCAGTACCTTTTTGGGGTAGCATACTAGAATCCCCTGTAACTACAACCCAAAAAGGAACTACATCGGAGCCTTTGGGTAAACCTTTGTCACTTCGTACCCAAGGCGTGCTTCTTCAGACAGAGGGCCCCCGCGAGATTCCCGTGGACGTGTTCCATGTGGCCCTGCCTGACCTGTATGGCACCAATGCTACTAGGTAATTAGGCCCTTGGGATATTTTTATATTTTCCCTTATTGGGTTTGAAGAGGATCATATTAACCCTAAACCCTAAACCCTAAACCTAAACCCTAAACCCTAAACCCTACACCCTAAACCCTAAACCCTAAACCCTAAACCCTAAACCCTAGGAATATTTTTCAGGGGGTCTTAAGGGCCATCCGAGGCTACCTATCACCTCTTGGCCATCAGTGGCTTGGTAGCCCAGAGGAACCCTTTTACCTCCTTTTTTGTTGGTTTCTGGGTTCCCTGAAAAAAGTAACCAACCCTAAACCCTAAACCCGAAACCCTGAACCCTAAACCCGAAACCCTAGACCCTAAACCTTAAGTCCTAAACCCTAAACCCTAGGAAGGGTGCCCTTGCTATTGTCTGGTTCCTGGGCTACCAAGGTGAGGATGCGGAGTCCCACCTTGCCCTAAACCCTAAGTCCTAAACCCCAAACCCTAAAACCCTAGACCCTAAACCCTAAACCCCAAACCCCAAAACCCTAAACCCGAAACCCAAGGTGAGGATGCGGAGTCCCACCCTAAACCCTAAGCCTTATAAGCCCCAAACCCTCAAACCCTTAACCCTAAAACCCTAAAACCCTAAACCCGAAACCCTAAACCCTAAACCCTAAACCCCTAAACCCCTAAACCCCTAAACCCTCAAACCCTTAACCCTAAACCCGAGGTGAGGATGCCGAGTCCCACCTTGCGCGTTCCCAGTCGCAGGGCGCTCCCCGCGCGAACAGCGATTCCGTGGAGTTTTACAATGAGCTTTCCGAGCTCACCCTCCTGTTCCTTGGGTTTAGGGTTTAGGGTTTGGGGTTTAGGGTTTAGGGCTTGGGGTTTGGGGTTTGGGGTTTAGGGTGCACATAAGTTGGTGGAATTGTAGCAGTATAGGATATATGAACCCAATGTTAGGGTTCATGTGGTCCGCAAGGTTGAACGCCAGCACCACTGACATCGACATCGACGCTGGCGGTGTTCGGAGTCGTTTTTGTTCCTAAAAATTCCCAAAGGGTCCATGTACCCATATAGTATATACTTGGACCTTACAGGGGTTCCTATACAGTAGCGTTAGGGCCCAAATATGTACTATATGGGTACATGGACCCTTAGGGATTGGATGTTTCATACGGGGATTCCTGTTCGGGTGAGGTGTTTTTTAAGCGCGAGGAATCCGGGGGGTAGCAAGGGCCGACCCGGATTTCGCAAGGATTCTTAGACGTCTAGGGTATGCCTACTACGTAGGATTAACGGCTTACTCTTGGGCCCCAAAACTTAACAGCAAGAGTCCCTGAGCCTTATGGTTTAGGGTTTAGCTACGCCCCAAACCCTAAGCCCTAAACCCGAAAGCCCGAAGCCTTCTTTCCCCAAGGAAGAGGCCACAGTGCACTTCGCCCGGAAGAAGGCAGCCAAGCACGACACGGGATTCTGGGTCTTCCTTTGGAATCTGGGTTTAGGGTTTAGGGTTTAGGGTTTAGGGATAATTGTTGTTATTATTATTATTGTTACATTTGTTTTTGTCGGGGGGGGGGGGGGGGGGGGCAGGCTATTGGGACCTGACTCTGTTTAGGGTTTAGGGCCAGTTTCTAGCTGGTTTCGTTTTGGGGGATCTTCTGCGTGTTTGTGTGCGACGTATAGGGGCTCGCCTTTAAGTAGTATGGTATCTAGTCTCCCAATTCGGGCTGATTTAGTCCCGAAAGAGGGCTTGTAGGTTTTCACGCTTCCAAAGCCCAAAACCTATGAGCGTGGAGGATGAAAGACGCAGGCTTGTAAAACTTGAAACCCCAAACCCGAAACCCTAAGCCCGAAACCCTAAACCCCAAATCCGAAACCCTAAACCCTAAACCCTAAACCCTAAACCCTAAACCCCATAAGGATGGGGCATGCCAACGCTCCGAAAGCTAATCCGCCCACTGGACTGGCAAGCCCTGGAGGTGGGTTTAGGGTTTTTGTGTTTCAGGGTTTAGGGTTTAGGGTTGAGGGTTGAGGGTTGAGGGTTGAGGGTTGAGGGTTGAGGGTTGAGGGCCTCGGGTTTCGGGTTTAGGCATTTTAATCCTGTTGTTTCGGGTCTGCCTAGACACCCAAGATGTAAATCATCTTTGTCTAGGCAACAACTTGTCGCTTCATACCAAAAATGGCATCCGGTGCGCCCAAAATACTTCCGGATACTTGGCATAATTTGTAATCTTTGTGTACTTTACTCCCTAAGAACCAGCCAAAACGATAGTTTTTGCTAGGGTTCCAAGTTCTGTGATTCTCCCTACTACTCCCTAAGGCTCCTCCAGCTTCCCTAGCGTTCCCTAGGTACCTACCCCCCATGAACCCCCCTAACACCAAACCCTAAACCCTAGACCCCAAACCCTAAACCCTGAACCCTAAACTCCAAACCCCACACCCCAAACCCTACTCGCCTGGCTTGTCCGAGTGTGAGCGATCAAGCCCTGAGCCAATACTTTGTGGTTCTTTACTGTAACTTTAGATCCTTAGCCTTTTTGGGTTCATTGGGTTTCTTAAGAAGGCAGCTAACAAATTAATTTATAGCTACCCTCCTAAGTGCAGCCCAGAATAGGTTTCATCACTCTCACCGGCCCACCGGCGGGACTTCGGCTCAGGGCATCAGGGAGTTTACGAAATGGGGGGCCCCTCTACGAGAAGACGGTTTAGGGTTATATAAGGGTTGGGGTTTAGGGTTTAGGGGTTAGGGTTTTGGGGTGTAGGGGTTTAGGGGTTTAGGGGTTTAGGGGTTTAGGGGTTTAGGGGTTTAGGGTCTAGGGCCAACTAGAACCCAAACAGTAGGGATTCCCAGTCGAGTAAGGACCCCAGTAAGAATGAGTGACCCCTAATTTTGGACATCCCCCTCTAGCCATGTGGGGGGGTGCGAGGTTGGGCACTGGGTTTAGGGTTTAGGGTTTAGGGTTTAGGGTTTAGGGTTTAGGGTTATGGGTATCAATCGGATGGTCTTTAGGCAGGCTGGTAGCTCTTCAACTGTATGCTTCTTGAGTCGTTTGTCTTGGAATCGTGATTTTCTAAACCCTAGGTTTAGGGTTTAGGGTTTCGGGTTTAGGGTTTAGGGTTTAGGGTTTAGGGTTAAACCCTGAACCCCGAAGTCGCCAACGACTGCAACCTGGGACTGCCAGGCCCAGATTCGGATTGTCGCCCGCGATGCCAAACTGCATCGTGGGAGGAAGGCCTGTAGGGTGTGCACGGGTTTAGGGTTTCGGGTTTAGGGTTTAGGGTTTACGGGTTTACGGGTTTCACCCCAAACCAGGCGAATCCGCCCCCTGAAGCACTAAACCCTACCTAAAGCTCAAAATTTACTACAAAAAAGGGCGACGGCTTACAAACACGGGACACGCAAAAGCAACATGTCTTGGTTCAGCAAGTAGGAATGAGCAAAGTGCGATTTGACCGCACCTGTACCATTCTTGTACTCTTCCGCCTCTTGCGAACGTTTGTGTCGCACTTCTTGGCTTGCTTGTTATGGGGATTCTGTTTTTGGCGATCTTTAGTTGCCCTAGAATACGCAACTAAGCAGATACTTGCCCGTTCCTGGTTTAGAATCCCCCCCTGCCGGTGTAAAAAAGACTCCAGAATTTCCCAGGGTCTGCCTGTTCATGTCATGTTTATCCTACAAGCAAGCTCTTCAGTCTCGTCTCTCACTTGCAAACCGAGTACTTCAGCCAGCGAGAAGCTGTGATGCGCAACCCTAAACCCTTGAACCCTAAACGCCAAACCCCTAAACCTTAAACATCCCCCTACACCCTAAACATCTCTAAACCCCCTAAACCCTAAACCCCAAAGAGAACCGCCCACAACTCTGACAGGCCAGGTATGGCAGCCAACGTCCTCATGCCCAGCTGTAGCTGCCAGTGACCCCATACCTAGAACCAGGGTTTAGGGTTTGGGGTTTGGGGTTTAGGGTTTCTAAAACCCTCTGCAACCAAAACAATACGGCACCCTGCCCAATCCTTCCTGGGTTACAAGGTTCGCCTATATGCCTTAAGAACCCCAAAACCTACTTTTCTTGTAGGCTCTGATTCAAAAGACCTCTTATAAGCTTTTGGTGAACCTACCAAAAAAAGTAGGTTTGGGTTCCTGAGGCGAACCTTTAAACCCTGAAACCGTGAAGCCCAGTTACACCAACCCTAAACCCTGAACCCTGATCCCTGAACTCTAAACCTAACCCTAAACCCTAAACCCTAAACCCTAAACCCTAAACCCTAAACCCTATACCCTATACCCTATACCCTATACCCTATACCCTATAAACCCTAAAACCTAACCGTAATCCTGGCAGGGCAAAAGCCTGCCGGAGCTCATGTTGCGCTTACCTGGTGCTGCCGAGCCGAAGATGCTTTCTCCTCATATTTCCCAGAAGTTGTTGCTCATTTGTTGTTCAGGGTTTAGGGTTTAGGGTTTAGGGTTTAGGGTTTAGGGTTTAGGGTTTAGGGTTTGCTGTGATAGGGCGTAGATGCTGTGAAGGTTAGGATGCAGCAGCGGCTCGAATGCCTCGGCAAATGCGCAGAGCAGCTCCTGGCCCGATATTGGAGGGCCATCAAAAACTTTTCTCCCACCCCACGCCGTCCGAGGCGGCAAAACCACCCAAACCTATTCCTTTTAGGGTTTAGGCCTAAACTCATGACAATCGCTTACTTTCAAAAAAAAACATTCCCCAAGAATAAGGTTTGTAGCCAGTTCCTGGCTGACAGGGTTAGCGGGGGCCACAAGAGGTGGGCAGAAGGGCCAACGGGAGCGGGGGCAGACGAGGGCCAGACGGGGGTCAGGGGGGGTCAGGAGAGAGGGGGCCAAAACTGCCCAAAGTACGGGGTGGGTTGACCCTGTGGGGGGCCTGCGCTGAGAAGGGCCGAAAAGGGCCAAGGGTCAAGGGGGTCAAGAAAGGCCAGAGCGAGGGGCCAGGGGGCCGACGGGACCAGGGAGGCCAGGGATGGGTCAGGGGCGGGCCAGGGGGGGCAAGGGGGGGGGGTCAGGAGGGGGGTTAGAGGGGTGAGGGGGAAGGGGGTTTAAGGGTTTAGGGGTTAGGGTTTAGGGTTTAGGGTTTAGGGTTTAGGGTTCAGGGTTTAGGGTTTGGGGTTTGGGGTTTAGGGTCTAGGGCCGGCAGCCTCCAAAGTCCGTTGCCCAAAAAGGGTCTAGGATCTATAGGGTTTAGGGTCTGTAGGTTTTGGGGTTTGGGGAGTTTAAGGGGGTAAGGGTTTAGGATTTAGGGTGTTTCTTTTGTTGTTTAGGGCCTAGGGTTCAGGTTTTTAAGGCCGCCTAGACCACAGCCAAGTAATTCACGGACGCTGGGAGCTCAGCGGGGCTGAGGTGTCGGAATGTAGTGTGCAGGGTCCGGGTTTGGGGCTTGGGGTTTAGGGTTTAGGCAGTACAGTAGGGTTTAGGGCTTAGGGCTTAGGGTTTAGGGCTCCTCTGCCCCGAGTTCGACCCGAGAGAAGGACCTACCTTCGAGCAAGGAGCGCATCAGTTGAGCGTGTCTATTCGGGTGGCTCGTCTGCACTTAGGGTTTAGGGTTTAGGGTTTAGGGTTAGTCTCTGGGTTTGTTCGGAAACTGATTGGCGTACCGAGCCCTTCATAGCTCTCAAAGTGCCGTGAAAAGCCACCGAAAGCCTTGGCCCAATACTTCTCCACACGGCCCAGCCAGCGAGGGTGAGGCGGGAGAGTTTGAATCGTTTCAAGGAGGTTTAGACTCGCACCCCCTCAGGTGGTAGACTCAAAGGTGCCCTTCATATGCTCCCAAAATGGCCCTTATATTCATTTTTAAAATCTTTAGGGTCCCCCGAACCTAAGGGTACCACTTTCGGGGTCCGAGGTAAAGCCCCTTGATCGTGATTCGTTCCAGGTTCCTCAAACTGGCCGACAGGCCCGATCGCTTAGGGTGTGCTGAGGAGAGGTTTACTACTATGTGCTTCAGAACCCCCCCAAAAGTAACAGATGGCAATCCCTGTATTGCCCTTAGAAGGGAAGCATAGTTTTTGTTTTCCCCACCCTCGGCGTGGGGTTGTTAGATTTTAAACTCAACTCTTCTCGTCGCCCGGAACGCTTCTCCTCGCCCGGTCTACTCCTCGCTCATCCCTGGAGTGCCCAACCCCAAAGTGTCCCTGGAGTGGCTAACTTTAGAGTGTTCGTGGAGTGCCCCACCTTTGAGTCTCCCTGGAGTGCCCAACCCCAGAGTCCCCCTGGAACGCCCAACCCCGTGCCAAGCCCCAGGAGTCTCCCTGGAGTGCCCAACCCCAGAGTGAAGTCGAGTCCCCCTCGGAAAGTTAGGTTCAGAGGGTTCTGGAGTCTCCCGGACTCCCTGACCCCAGTATTGGAACCCTAAACCCTAAACCCTAAACCGTATTCAGTGCGAAGCTCGAAGTGCCACTGCGCTTCGTTGTCACCCTCCTGCGCCTGAAGCCCAGGAGAGCCCCTGCTGTGCGCAGGTGGCGCGATATCCCTAAACCCTAAACCTAAACCCTAAACCTTAACCCTAAACCCGAAGTTATAAACCCTAAACCCTAAACCCTAAGGGGTCGAGGGGCCGGCCGCCTCCTCTTCTTGTCGATCCCGCCTTTTTTGGAGGAGTGCCAACCCCAGAGTCTCCTTGGAGTGCCCAACTCCAGCGTGTTTTCGGAGTGCCTAGAGGATCCTACAGGGCCCAACCTCAGAGTCTTTCTGGAGTGCCCAACCCCAGAATGTGCCTAGATTGCCCCCCCCCCCCCCCAGAGAGTCCCGAGCGCCCAGCCCCAGAGTGTCCCTGGAGTGCCCAACCCCAGAGTATCTCAATATTTTTGTTTGTTTTGCGGGGGGGCGGGGCGGTGGGGTTCTTAAGCAATTGGTAGTTTACAGTTTTAAACTTTAGGCCCTTTAGGCCTTATAGGGGCTTTCGGGAAGCGCCCTCAGGTATGCTTGCACCGGGCGAGCCCACCTATTTGTGACTTGGCCGGGTCGCTGCACCTTCGGGTTTAGGGTTTAGGGTTTAGGGTTTAGGGTTTAGGGTTTAGGGTTTAGGGTTTAGGGAGTGTGGACCAGTGATCTGAAGTTGCGATTCCAGCTCGGGCTCAGGATGGCTGAGAGTTTAGGTTTGGGCTTTTTAGGGTTTAGGCACCGTTTAGGGTTTAGGGTTTGGGGTTTAGGGTTTTGGGGATTAGGGTTTGGGCTTCAGGTTTTTTGTGAGTTCTGTGGCTGCCCAAGTCGCAACACGTCAGGGTTGGTCCTGAAAAGTGTTAAGCGCCGAACCCACATGCATGTGTCTAGGACCCAGAGTATACTTACCCAAAGGCTCCAATGTAGTTCCTTTTTGGGTTAGTGACAGGGGATTCTAGTATGCTACCCCAAAAAGGTTCCACATAGGATCCTTTGGGTAGGCCCTCAACCCCGTTTTGAGGGTGTAAGTTCCCTCTAACGGCCTTTTTAAACCAAAAAGGGCACCCTTCCTGTTCCTAGGCTGCTCTTGGGTCTAGCAGTTGTGCTCACAGGGTGCAGAGCATCGCCCAGGGATTGGGTCTAGCCTAGGCTTAATGGGTTCAGGGTTTAGGGTTTAGTGCTTCGCCGTGCTTTTGTACCTATACGGCCTATACGGTTTCGGGTGCACAACGCGTGTACCCCTCAACCCGCTCCCCCAAAAACTGAATTTTTCGCGCCAACCTGAGGGTTAGCACCGGAGCCCTGAACCCTGATCCATACCAGAGACTGGGACCGGAGTAGGCCCCTTTTTCCTTTTTTTGGGGTTGGGCCTAATCCCCTTAAAAGCAAAAAAAGGGTACCCCCTTTCTTTATTCCTAGGATACTCCCGGGTCCAGGAGAGCAGCCTACACACCATCTAAAGAAGGGAGATGTATGTACCTGTCATTAATTGTTGAGGTATGTTTGCCCTTTCATACTTTAGGTGCAAGGCTCCTCGAGCCAGACGCTGCAGGTACTTGCAGCTCGGCAAGTTCAATCAGGGCCGCCGGGGGCTTGGCACAGACAAGCGGAGACTGGAAGGAGTGGAGGAAGACTGCGCCAACGAGACCAAGGATGTTTGAAGAGTTGGTACCCAAAGGCTCCTATGTAGTACCTTTGGGTCGTATACTAGACCCCCTAAACCCTAAGCCCTAAGCCCTAAACCCTACAGGAGCCCGTAGATACTTTCACAGTGCGTTTTCTTGCCTTGTTCAGAGAACGGTGCGACGCTTCCGGGTTCGATATAGAACCCTGTTTCAAAAGGGCACCTGGTGTCAGGCAGGAATTCCCAGCACGGGCCGGCACGTTCGGCCCCTGGTTCCGCCCGTATATAGAGGTCGAAGGGCTTAAGCGCCGCCCCCCTTCTGTAGATGTGAAAATTGCCTGTTTTAGACGACGCAGATGCTTGGGCCAGAAATAAAAAGGCACTGCAGTGGCATCGGGTTAGAGGCCATTCCGTTGAGGGTCCCAGTGCGGGGTGTTAGGTAACGCAGCGTTCGGTCATGTACCTTCCACGGAAGACATAGCCATGAACTCAAGCCTTTAACCCTCACCCCTAAACCCCCCCAATCCCTACCAAAAGAGCCCTTATTTCTTTTGTAGTGTACCGAAGAATTCATTCAACAGTTTTTAAAATAGAATGAGAGCCAACAAAACAGGAGGGTTTGGGTTCTTAAAGGAGAAGCTCTCAAGCCCTAAATCCCAGCCCCAAATCCCAACAGCGCAGCTTCTACTTTCTGTCGCAGGGCAGTTGTAGCCAGGGGCATGAGGATAATCAGTCTACTTTTGTGTGTTCGGGGGGGGGGGGGGGGGGGGGGGGGGGGTTAGGGTTTAGGGTTGAGGGTTTCGGGTTTAGGGGGGGGGGGGGGGGGTGTTTCTTCCATGGTATAGGGGGGGGGGGTATAATTACAAGGCACCCTGGGCGTCATAAGCGGCACCCTCAGGGCCGGAAACTCAAACTTTGGGCCGAAACCCTAAACCCTAAACCCGAATATCTCCAGGGTGATTCCTCAGGGAACCCCGAATCCGAGAATACCCGAACACTTTCTCCGCGTGCGGGGGATATTCTTGGGAGCCAGGAACCGGTTTAGGGTTTAGGGGTTTCGGGTTTAGGGTTTAGGGTTTAGGGTTACGGGTCTCTTTAGGCATTACGCCACTCCACTCTAAACTCGCCTCGACTTATCCTATGATGGGTAGACAAGAGCGGCGTGCATTTGCCTGAAACGTCAGGGGAATTCTCTTCTTGGTGTCTGGAAGCAGCTGATAAGGCTTTCTCCAGCAAATTGAACCCTAAACCCCGAACCCTAAACCCTAGCCCTAAACCCTAAACCCCAAAAGAGCCCTGCAGTCGGTCCCGGCTGTTCAGCTCGATCTTTCGCACTTCAATTGTTGAGTTCATTTCGGGTCACAAAGGTTCCTTGGTAGCCCAGGGGTTTAGGGTTTAGGGTTTAGCGTTTAGAGTTTAGGGTTTCAAGGTTCCCTTATCTCGCAACCACCCCCCCCCCCCCCAAAAAAAAAAAAAAAAAAAGGTAGCATGTATCGTAATATGGTTACTGGGCTACCCAGGTTCTCCAAGTTTCTGGTCTGCTGGTTCCCTGCCATTGATGCTACGACCAGGGTACCCTACAGTTTGGGGCTTTGGCGGACGCAGATGCTTGCTGAACCCTAAACCCTAAACCCTAAACCCTAAACCCTGAACCCTGAGCCCTGAGCCCTGAGCCCTAAGCCAGAAAGATGCTTGCCGAGGGTTGTTGCCTGTGCCAAAAGTGGTTTAGGTTGTAGGGTTCGGGTTTAGAGGCTTCAGGGTTGAGCATGTAACCCTAAGGGCTAAACCCTCAACCCAACTTTGTGGTGCTTTAACTGTAACTTTAGATCCTTAGCCTTTGTGGGTTTATTGGGTTTTCTTAATAACGCAGCTGAAAATTCCCCTAAACCCTTAACCCTTAACCCTAAACCCGAAACCCCAAACCCTAAACCCTAAACCCTCCTAAGTGCAGCCAAGGTTTGTTGTCTGCTGGAGACGTCGTACAGCTACCAGCCTCTCGGGCGTACTTTGGTGCGTTTGCTTGGTTTGGGGTTTAGGGTTTAGGGTCTAGGGCTTATAGGGCTTGTTTTTTCGTTTACAGTTTAGGGTTTAGGGCCTAGTTTAGGGCCTTCAGTGCATTCCCAGACCCCCGAAACAGATGCAAGTGACAGCTGGAATGCCCACGGAGGACAGCAACAGAACACGACCCCAGTCACTAGACCTAGAGCCCTCGTTGGGGTACATCATAGTCCCCTAAACCCCTAAACCCTACACCCCTAAACCTCTAGACTCTAGACCCCTAAACCCGACCCTGAACCCCTACACCCTAAACCCCCTGAACCCTAAGCCAAAGGGGCCTGACGAAACCCCCTAAACGACCCAGAACCCTAAACCCTAAACCCTAAACCCTAAACCCTAAAACCCCTGAACCTTCAGCCAAAGGGGCCTGACGAAATCCACGCGTTGGTTTCAGACGTTTTTGGCTTGGGGAAGTTCGGCCAACGGTGCCTGCGTATGTAGGGTTTAGGGTTTAGGGTTTAGGGTTTAGGGTTTAGGGTTTAGGGTTCTGGGTCCCACTTGATTTTTGGGCAAAGCCATGCCTTACTAGGGGCTTCTTCTGCAGGGAGGCATCAGCCCCTTCATGGCATCTTTTCCATGCGCTCAGCCCTACATATCTCGGGTTTCAGCAACCAGCCCACTTATCTCGGCGTCCTTGCTGCATGTGCAAAGCAAGACAGACCCTTAGGAGAAGAACATCCCAAACGCGGCAGCAGAGACTTCATTACCTGAATGAGTACTTGGTACTAACGGCATTACCAGAATGAGAAGGCTATATCCCCCGGAGCCATGCAGATGAACCTCTGCTTTGGTGTCTAGAGTCTAGGGGTTACAAATACAGCCGACTGGAAACCCCACTCCTTGAACCGAGAACCTGAAACCGCATGCGATGCAAAGGAGGAACCAACTAGCTTTCTTGGCCGCGTGGCCGCCGAGTATGAAAGCTCCGGCGTGCAAGACAAGCAGCAGCCAGGTTGCAGGATTCCGGGTTTGGGCTGTAGGGTTTAGGGTTTAGGGTATAGGGTTTAGGGTTTAGGGCTAGGGTCTAGGATTTGGGTATAGATGTCAGGGTTTAGGGTTTAGGAAGTCTAGGAAGGTTAGGGTTTTAGGGCTTGAGGCCTTAAAGCCTTCTTGGCTTGGTTTAGTGTCTGGGGCTTACCCGAAGGCTCCTATGTTGTGGGGTTTTGGGTAGTATACTAGAATCCCTTCTAACTAACCCCAAAAGGAACTACATTGGAGCCTTCAGGTAATTCCTCAACCCTAAACCCTAAACCCTAAACCATCCGTTTGTTTTTTTGATTTGGGGCTTTGGGGGTCGCTCTTGGGGGAGAGGCCGGTTGGGATGACATGCCGGGTGGCTGGGTCGAGGTCCCCTTTTGATTCTTGGGTTTAGGGTTTAGGGTTAAGGTTTTAGGGTTTGAAACCTTTTCGATTCTTGACCTCTGGGTTTTGGGTTTAGGGTACGTCTTATGAAACTCTTGAACCCTTAAACCCTGAACCCACGGAGGTCACCTCGGTCACTCTAGGGGCTGCGATTCCTTACAATCACAGTTCAAAGGAGGCCAGCTCAGGTAAAGTCTGTGCCTTAACAGCCTTAACAACCCGAAACCTACTTTGTTGTAGGTCTCCTAAGAATCCAATAAGGGGATTTATAGTAATAACCTACAAAAAAGTAGATTTGGGGTTCTCAAGGCAGGGTTAGGGGGCTTGGGGTTTGGGGTCTTAAGTTTTAACCGTCGAGCTTCAGGTCTTTCGGGTTTAGGGTTTAGGGTTAGGGGATTTCAGGTTTCAAGGCCAAGAAGCCCTGTAGAAATGGCTGCCTGACACCTTGCATAGCCTAAAACCCTAAACCCTAAACCCTAAACCTTACACCCCTGGGGACCCACTTCCACAGAATACTTCCTTCATCCTCGCGCCGCCCCAAAACCTTCGCGGACAGAGCCGGGGCAAACACAACAGGGTTTAGGGTTTAGGGTTTAGGGTTTAGGGTTTAGGGTTTAGGGTGAATCTACCCAAAGGCTCCTATGTAGTACTTTTTGGGGGGTAGAACACTATAGCATCCCCCTGTCACTAACCCCAAAAAGGAGCTACGTTGGAGCCTGGAGGTAACTCCTAGACCCTACATTCCTCACCCGGAATCTCTTCGGCGCACCGCTTGCCTTAGTGCTTTTCTACCCTAAAAGGGCCCAAGACCCCATTATTTTAAGGCCTCTTGCCTGTTTTGGGGCCCAAAAAGGCCTTCTTATTCGGGGTCTTGGGCCCTTAGGGATTATACCCTACATCAGCTGTATATAGGTTGAAGCGAGAGGAGCGGCTTCCCATAAATCATCCCCGATGCCTTCTCCCCAATGTAAAGCCCATTGCAGGACCAACTCGTCACTCTAAGACCGAAGCTGACCAAAGCCTAAACCCTATTGCCCCAGTAACCCTAAATCCTAAACCCTAAATCCTTAAACCCTAAATCCTAAACCCTAAACCCTAAACCCTAAGCCCTAAGCCCTAAGCCCTAAGCCCTAAACCCTAGCCTCCTAAATCCATGAAATGTAGACTCGCAGAGTTGGCTTCTAAGGGCCCTCCCGTCCTGGCTGCCGCCTGGACAAACAGCGGGGTTTAGGGGGTTCAGGGTTCAGGGTTCAGGGTTCAGGGTTCAGGGTTCAGGGTTTAGGGTTTAGGGTTTAGGACCCCCCGCCCCCCCCCCCCCCAGACCTGCACCCTGTTTCCCTAAAGCCCAAACCTAAGTCCCAAACATATTTCGTGAGGGCTTTTGGGCGGGATCGTTTCAGGGGGGCTCTTAAGCAACTAGCAGTTCACGAGACAGGCGACTGCTGCAGAGGGTGGTGACCTTTGGGCTTGGGCATCCTACTGATCCATGTTTCTCATCTGTCTGGACTTGTTTAGGGTTTAGGGTTTCGGGTTTAGGGTTTAGGCCTTAGGGCTTAGGGCTTAGGGTTTAGGTTTTTGCTTATGTACGTTGTCTTCCTCGAAGGGACAAGGGATGTG